CAATCTATGCCTTTTATATCATAGAAATGTAGTGGATCTCATGGTGAGTTTAATTTACATTCCATTAATGACCAATGATGTTGAACATTTCTGGTGCCCATTTGGCGACCATATATGTTGGTGAAGTGTGTTCACATATTTCGTTCTTCTTTAAATTGTTTTTCTTACAAATTCTGGGTACAAGTCCTTTTGATAAAATACTGACATATGTATTTTGTTATAGTCTGTGGCTTTTCTTTTTCTTCACAGTGTCTTTTTAGGAGGGAAAATATTCATCTTTTATGAGGTACAATTTATGTAAATGTTCTTTATGAATCATGGTTTTGTTGTTATATCTAAGAAATCTTTAACTTAAGGTTTTTTAACATGGTTTCTTCTAGAAGTTTTATAATTTTAGGTTTTACATTAAGTTTTTGATCGATTTTTAATTTTTGTATATTATAGAGCATAAGAACTGAAGTTGCTTTTAGCTGGGCATGGTGGCACATACCTGTAAGTCTAGCATTCTGGGAGGCTGAGGCAGGAGGATCACAGGTTTGAGCCTAGCATACACAATTTAAGGACTAGTGAAACTCTGCCTGAAAATTTTAGAAAATTGTTTTTAATGATTGGGGGCATAGTTCAATGTGAAAGCCCCAGGTTCAACCCGCAGTGCTAGAGGAAAAAAGGTCGCTTTTAATTGTTTTTTGTGCATATTTTTACACATGAATATCCAATTGTTCCAGTACCATTTGTTATAAAAATTATCCTATCTCTGCTAAATTGCCTCTGTCAAGAATTAGTTGTCCATAGTTTTTCGTGTCTATTTCCCGACTATGTTCTATTCCACTGATCGCTTTATCTTTACACATCCAGTGCCACAGTAGTATTAATGTTAGTGTTAGCCTTCCTCCTTCGTTAGCATTTTTTAGTTATTTTGGCTATTCTGGACTTCTTGCAGTTCAAGCAAGTTTTGTTTTGTTCACCGGGATTGAACCCAGGGACACTCTGCTGTGTCCCTTGCCTTATTTATTTTTTGTTTTGAGGCAGTCTCACTAAGTTGCCCAAGCTGGCCTTGAAAATGCAATCCTCATGCCTCAGCCTCTTGGGTAGCTGGGATTACAGGCATGCGCTACCATTCCTGGCTCTAATTTCTTAAGGTAGAAGCTGATATCATTGCTCTGAGATTGCTGTCATTTTCTTATATAGGCATTTGACGCTATAAATGTCCTCCTAAGCACATCTTTAGTGACATTGCAGATTTGGATATGTTGTGTCTTTATTTTCGTTCACTTCAAAACATGTTTAAATTTCCATCTTGATTTCCTCTTTGACTATAGGTCATTTGGTGCTGTTGTTGAGTTTCAGGATATTTTGACATTTTTCCAGGGATCTTTTTACATTGATTGAATTCTATTGTGCCACAGAACATATTTTGAATAATGTGAACCCTTTAACATTTATTTAGACTTGTTTTATGGACCAGGATATGGTATATATTGGTAAATGTTTTGTGTGCACTTTAAAAGAATGTATACTCTGCAGTTGTTGCGTTGAGTGTTATGTAAATGCCAAGTTGTTGAAATCTATATCCTCACTGGTTTTCTGTCTGCCAGTTATGTAAATTGTTGAGAAATGTTTATCTGAAATTGCCAACTCTAATTATGGACTTGTCTGGTTCTTCCATAGATTTTCCTTCGTGTGTGAACATGTGTTATTACACGCATAGACACCTTTGGTTGTTATGGTCTCTTGATGAATTATCCTTTGTAGCATTATAAAATGTTCTTTGCCTCTTGTAACGTTTTTGTCTTCAGTCCCTTTTGTCTGATACTGGTACATCTACTGCAACTCTCTGATGGTTAATGTTTGCCTTTTCCATACCAATACATTTAACTGTGTTTATTTATATTTGAAGTGCATTTTTCATAAGCAGCATGTAGTAGAATCAAACTGTCCAAATCCAATCTGATAATTTCTGCCTTTTAATAAACATACTCAAGCTATTACATTTAATGAGATTATTGATATGGTTTGGATCAAACTATTAGTTTTCTATTTTCTTTTTTCTTTTTGAGACAGGGTCTCACTATGCAGTTCAGGCTGGCCTTGAGCTCACTTTTTAGCCCAGGCTGATCTCGAACTCACAGTGATCCTCCTGGCTCAGCCTCCCGAGTGCTGGGATTACAGGCGTGTGCTACCATGCCTGGCCTTACTTTTCTGTTTTCTATTTGTCTCATCTGTTCTTTCTTATCTGCCTTCTCCTGGAATTATTAAATCCCTTTAATGATTCTACTTTATACCTATTTTTGGATTATTAGTTATAACTCTGGGTTATTTAGTGATTACTTTAGTGTTCATAGTATACATGTTTACATTATCACGGTTTACTTTCAAGTGATAGTATACATTTCATGTAGAGAATAAGAGCCTTAACATAATGTAAATCCATTTCTCTCCTCTGACCTTGTGCTGTTATTGCCAAACATTTTAATTTTACGTACATCATAGCCCATGCATTCCATTGTTATTTTTCTTTTTTAAATTATTTTTTAAAAAGATTCAATAAGAAAAAGAAAATTATATATTTACCCATTTCCTAAACTCATCCATCATTCCTTCTTGTATGTCCTCTGTGGATCTGGCAAATTGTTTCAGCTTTTTTAAAGTCTGAAAATGTCCTTACTTTTCTTTTGTTTTGGAATAATTCCTTTCTGGATATGCACTTTAACCTACAAATTTTGAGTGCTTTAAAAATATTGCTTCATGATCTTCCTGCTTGTGTTATTCCCAGTGAGAAATATAGCATCATACTTACCATTGTTCCTTTATATGTAATATGCTTTTGTCCCTCAGGCTCTTTCTATGCTGTTTTTCTTCATCCTTGGTTTTGAACGCTGTGATTAAGATGTGTCTCGATGTAGTTTTCTTCATATTTCTTGTGCTCCAGGCTGATTGAGTTTCTTGGCTCTGTGGGTTTATAGTTTTCATCGAATTCAGAGAAGTTTCAGCCATTATTTTTTCAAATATTTTACTTGTTATACACTGTGTCTCTTCCTTCAGGAGTTCCAATTACATACACTTGGACACTAGAGGTTTGTCTGTAGCTCTTTTTTTCCCCACATGTTTTTTGTTTTAAAATTTTCTGTCTGTATTCCACTTTGAAGAGTTTCCATCTTGCTAAATCTTCAAATTTACTGATCTTTCCTTCTGTGATTTCTAATCTGCCTTGAAGTCTACAAAGTGTATTTTTCATCTCACGTGTCTGTAATTTTCATCTCTAGAGATTCAGTGTATCTTTTTAAAAACTATGTATCCTATATGACTACTTTTGAACATTTGAAAAGAGCTATAGTAGCTATTTTAGTTAAGTATTTTATTGACAGTAACAGCTCTGTCAATTCTAACATCCAATCTCATTGTTGGCTGGTCCCAATAACTTCTTTATCACGGGGTTCATTTTCCTGCTTTTTAGTATGCCTCGTTAGTTTTGATTTGGGTGCCAGACATTTGGATTTACCTTGCTAGGTGTTGTAAATATTCATAAGTTTTGTTTTGGGATATGATTGAGTTACTTAGAAACAGTATGGTCCTTTCTGGTCTTGCTTTTAATATTTGGTAAGTGAAGCTAGGTGTAGTGGTGCAGTCCTGTAATCCCAGCACTCTGGAGGCTGAGGCAGAAGGACCACCATGAATTTGATGCCACACTAGGCTACAAAGTGAATTCAAGGCCAGCCTGAGCTCCATAGGGAGACCCTGTCTCAAAAATTTTATATATACATGTGTGTGTGTTTGTCAGGTGAGACCAGGTCAGTGCTTGGTAATGGCTAAATGCTCCCCACTACTGAAGCAAGACCTCCTGAGTACTTTACCCAATATCCTTTGAATCTTGAGGTTTTCCAGCCTGGCTGCTGGGATCAGGTATTATTCCTGGCCTTGTGTGAGTGTCATGCCCTCTTGCCACTGTCCTTTTCAAGGGGTTAAGTCCCTATCTGTGGGTGGTTTGCTCCTCGCCCTGTGTTGATCACTACTCAGTTGAATACTCACAGGACCTTCTACAAATCTCCAGAGTTCTCTCCTTCCTGTAAACGTTGGTCTTCCTGGACTTTCAGTTCTGTCTCCTCGGTTCAGGGAGTCAACTAAGTTTCACCTGAGTCCCTTTCCCTGACCCATGGCCTAGAAACCCTCTGAAAGTGAGACTTCCACGGAGATACAGACAGTGTTTGCCTTGTTTATTTCCCATCTCCTAGGGCCCGCTGTCCTTTGGTGCCTGGTGTCTAGTGTCTTACAGCAGTTGTTTTAGACATTTTCTTTATTTTGTGGTTGTTTCTGATAAGAAGATCCATCAAGTACCTGTTATTTCACTGAGGCCAAAAACAGAGACATTCCTGGGCAAATTTCTCAACTTTTCTGAATTTTTACATTCTCATCTATAAAACAGGATAATAATATTTAACTTATAATTTTGCCATGGAAATTAAGTGAGACTGATGTTTATGTAGCACCTGGCAACTGGCAGCTACTCAGCAAATATTTGGGGCTTTCCTGTCTCTGCACCTGGTTCTTACTTCTTTCTGATTTTACCTTGGGTTATCAACCTGCTTTCTGGCTGAGCTTTGGCTGGGGTCTTTATGATAATCAACCAAACGGCTCATAGCTTCATGAATTTCAGATATCACTACCTGGAGGATATTTAGGTCCACACCTTCTCTTCCTTTAATTATACATTGCCTTTTCTGAAATCTCACCCAGTTCAACTTACAAGAATTTCTACATAATTACAATGCGAATACCAGCAGTTTTTAGAAGGTCTAGGGTGTGTGGTGGATGGAATTTGAAAGGATCAGTGCTATCTGTGACCCCAGTGTGACCTTGCTGGGGTTTCCTGTAACATCGTGAACGCTGACCTTTCACTTCCCCTTTTCCTTTTTCCTCAGATTTTCCAGAGCTGCCTGAAGAACGGATGAACCTTTGCCAGAACTCACGCATTCTCTCTTCTCTTGTCTTCCCTCCCGCGGTAGTGTCTGGAGGTCGCAGCCGCCTGCATCTCATTGACCTCGGCAGCTGTGTGAAGGCTCTCAGCAAAAATCGAGAAGGAGGCTCCGGGCTGTGCCTCTCGCTGTCTGCTCTGGGCAATGTCATCCTGGCTCTCGTCAATGGCAGCAAACACATCCCATACAAGTAAGTGGCTTTTCTCCTGGAAGAACCTGAGGGGGTAAGCGTGCGACCCGAGCTGGGTGAAGGGTTCTCAGCGCAGGACCGTCTGGGGGAGGTGCGGCAAGAGGACCAGATTGTTGGCTGAATGCCAGAGACCAGCCTTCGCGGACAGTCGTGGTCCATCGTCATCCGATAGGTGCTCCACCGGCTGTCCAGGCCCCGCCCACAGTCCCCGCTGTGCCTCATCTGAGCTGTTTGAACCTTCACTCATTGTAAATTAGGGTTATAGCTGTCTGTGGTATCAGCATCATAGGGAGATAAGATTCAGAATGATGTAAGACGTGTGAAAATTTGTGTTCTAGACTTGAGAACATTGTGGTCAAAAACCAATAATGAAAACTTGATAGAACCTACCTCACTGAGTCTATTCTCAATTACTTAAGTGCAAATAATACCTTACAGAGTAGTTGTGAGGATGAAGTAAATATGGGTATGGGATCTTTTTTTAATCTGTAAAAATCCTGTAAGATACAAGGTACTAACATGGGAAGGAACAGGTAAGTCGGGCAGTTCATTCTACAACAACTGAGCTTCAGGCTGAGGCCTTGAGTTTTTTCCCTTGTGCTAAGTTCCTGCCGAACACCTGCCCCACCACCAAAAGACAACAAAAACCAAAAACCTGTGATTTTTATTTTATTTTCCACCAGGAGGACCATTACTAGACTGACTTTAGGAGCTTACACGGTGATTATATTCCTGTTAGCCGAAGTTCTTGAAATTTGGAATCCTAATTGGATAAACCCAGAAATAGTTTGCCCACCCATGTAAAAACTATTTTCTGTGAGAAAATTTTCAAGTTGAAAGTTTCATTTTCTGTGAGTTCTGCTTTTGAATGAATTCATTCTGTGAGTACAAAATAACCAAAGAGGAAAAGGTCAGTCTGCAGTGGGACTGTCCAGGTGAGGGACCTCAAGAAGGGAATAAAGAGGTATATGCCCACTCCATAAAATAGGGATCATGTCAATGAATGTAATAACTTAAAACATAATGATGTAACATTCAGACTGCCACCTTATAATGAGGTCACTGAGTGTATCTTTTAGTTATATAGCACACATGTTTTCTAAAGAATAACATGCATTTGTGAATTCAATAAATATTTGTTAAGCAGATGGTGGGTGGGTTGGATGAATGTAAGCACATGAAATTATTCTAATTTATATAAAGTAACTTCTTTTTTATTAGAGTTTGGGTTTTACTAGAAACAAGGAAACATTAAGAATTACTTACATCACTAGTTCAGGGTCTCTGGTTAAACTAAACATATTTGAACATCAGCTGGCGCTAACAACCAGCCGCCTGCCCTCGTGGGAGGAATGACAGAACGTGAAGCCACACTCACCAGGCTCTGCAGACATCTGCTGCTCAGTTCCAGCAGCCCTCTTCCTTCCATTCTGGCAAAGAGGGAATGCTGAGCAAAGTGTTACTGGCTTCCACAGGCACAGGCTTCGCGCGCTGTACCTGCATCACACACAGTTGTGGAGTTGTCCCCCTACCAGCAGGAGCCTGGCCTGGCTGAGCCGTCGGGCCGCAGGCACACAGACTCTCATCACCTGCCCTTGCCCTGCCTAACCTCCCTCACAAGAGCCTGCTGGCCAGCCCGTTGCTTGGTGGCAGGAGGCATGGTGGCCTGGCCATCCAGCCAGTTCTGTCCTCCCCCAGTGTCTACCGGCCAGAACACTTGATTCATCATCCCTTGGTCCTTAATGCCCATCACCACGGATAAGCCTTGAAAGGCCTCAGCTGTAACATCTGAGGACCTCGGCCACAGCAGCTATTCAATATCTGGTGTCTGCAAATCACATTTGTGAAGTGATTCATCAACTAGAACTATCCTCTTTGGGGTGCATAGAAAGGGAAGACAAAGATTTACTCACAACACACAACCAGTTGGTGGCAGGCTATCACTACATCACTCTTCATGGTTTTAGAGACCCCAGCAGCTGGGGCCCACACGGCCGGCACTCCCCTGCGCATGGAGCTCTGTAGTATGTTAGCTGCCTGGCCCTGCACGGCGGGGGTATTCAGCTCAGCGGGGCGGCCAGGTTTCCTTTATCAATTCCGTCAGCGCTCTGAAGCCACATTGTGCAGCATTTTGTTAGCATACTAAACACCTCTCAGAGTGTCAAGCCTTGTCTTTGCACTGGGTTCCTTACAGAAGGGACAGTTTCTAGCCATGCAATGTCTTCTTGTTTCTGCTCACTTTCAGGAAAAAAAAAAAAAAAACCCAAACTCCATATTCTTTGCCCTCCCCCCACCTCCAAAACACGAAAACCCCACTGCCTCGTCATCTGTCACCTAGACAACTCTGTGCTTCCAACCTGCATTACTTGTGCTTGCTTCTGGGAAATTAACCAGAATGTGTGCAGAGGGGCATAGGCTGTCTTCATTTCTCTTCATCACTGTACCGTGATTTGTCATGTGAACAAGCAGGAAAGTGAGTTTGGATTCAGCCCCCATCCCGCCCACTCCCACGGCACCCTCAGTGTGCCCCGAATGGCTCTGACTTTGCAAATGATATTGCCTTTGCGATGACAGGCCCAGGCCAGAGTGAGGGGGTTCCCAGCCTCAGCCAGCTCACCGCATAGGCTCGCCAGCCAATCCAAGTGCCATAAATCAATCCTATATGGTGACACCATTCAGAAAAGCATGCAGGGAAGGCAGGGAGACCACCCAGGGCTCCAGCGCCCGAGTCATTTCTGCACTGACAGGCTGCACAAATTGCTCTCTAGCTTGGGGGAACCTCACGCCGAGGGAAATCTGTCCCAGAATTGAGCATTTTGACAGCACATTTGCAAATTTCCTTCCAGGCTCATTCATTCCGTTGCCTGTTATTCCTCATCACTTCTTGGGCAACAAGGTGCTAGGAATCTTCCCGTTTGATGGACAAGAAGAAATAGGCAGGTGCATTGAAATGAATTTTCATGCCCCAAAACAATGTCCCAGATGTACATTCCCCTGGAATTGGTCCCCTAGAAGCTATCAGGGTGACCTTAGCTTCAAGCAAAGTGCTTTTATGTCACAGCTCTTCTGAAGGGCCAAGTCTTTCTTTCTTTTTTTTTTTTTTTTCTTTTTGAGACAGGGTCTCATTATGCAGTTCAGGCTGGCCCTGAGCTCACTTTGTAGCAGAGGCTGGTCTCAAATTTGCAACGATCCTCCTGCCTCAGCCTCTCAAGTGCTGGGATTACAGGCGTGCACTACTATGCCCAGCACTAAGTCTTTCCAAAAGCATAGAAATTCTAACCACCAGCCAGTTGTTTCAAAATAGAACTTCTAGTCCCTTGCAAGTGCTGTTGTATAAAGGTGAAAACCCTTAGGTACCCTTTGCACTGTGAGAGGCACCCACCTTCATTTAGAGCTGTTACTCTGAGAAACAATTACTGTTTGTTTGTTTGCGTTCATTTGTTTTGAGTCAGGGTTTTGCTATGCAGTGCAGGCTGACCTTGAACTCCCTATGTACCCCAGGCTGGCCTTGCATTATTGCAGTCCTCCTGTCTCAGCCTCCCAAGTGCTAAGATTACAGGTGTATACCACTAAGTCCAGCCTACTTTAAAAGGTTTTAGAATCTTATACTGAGCAAGGGATCATGGCCCAATGTTCAAAGAAAAAACATGTTTTATTTGAGAGAGCCAACCATCAAGGAGCTAGGAGGCAAAAGAGAAAAAAGAAAGCTCAGATCTGTCATGTCATTGGATGGCAGCAGAGAGGAATTTGTAGGAAGGAAGAAGGGTGATGTTGCTTGTTGATTGGATGCTAAGAAGGGACAGTGGTAGCCAGGGTGGGGGGGAGCAATACTGGGGATCCAACCCAGAGCCTTGTGTGTGTCAGGCAGACCTGTGCCTTTAAACTACACCGTGCCCTGGACTCGGGTCTCCTGCGCAGGTGTAATCAGTCATCACGCCTCTTCACAGGTCTCATATTCTTTTTCAGGGGCGGTTGCTGTGTTCTGCATGGGGTCTTTGAGCTTGTGACATCCAAAAGTCATTGGCCAGGGGAGCAGGCTGCTTCTGTGTGTGTGGATTCTTGAAAAGCTGGTTTCAAGCTGTCCTTGAGTGGATCCCGGAGGTGTTCCCTAAAAGCCAGCTCAGGTGCTGTGTAATTTAAGGGATGTATGTCTGGGTATGTCCAGGCCGTAGCGCATTTCACATCTACTTGCTTCTGTTTGCTTATTTGCCAACAGGACGCTTATGCTGTTTCTACACAGAAAGTATTTGATAATGTTTTGGCTCCCATTTGAGAGGAGGTCATGGAAAATTATTCTGTGACCCATTTGTGTTGTGTCTGTCTGCTTTTCCCAGGCATCTTGTGACATGAAGTGACGCTGGACCTCCCTCTTTTATGGGTCTGGTCTGCAAGGCAGGTGGAGCCCAAATCCAGGCATGGAGGTGTTTTGGGGCCCAGGCACTGTGCTGACTTCACTCCTCCCCTTCCTGGTTGGGTGACTGCAGGGAGCAGGGAGAGCCTGAGGCATCTGTCCTCAGGAGCTTCAGTCTGCGCCCCCTGCAGAAGCTTCTGTCCCACCAAAGTGACAAGGGTGCCCTTTCCCAGAGTCTGCAGTGAAGCTGCTTCTCCCCCTGCGGCCTGTGAGGGCGGAGGAACCAAGTCCCTTTGAAGAACCTGCAGCATCTGAACACAGCAGTTCTTTCAAACCAGCAGGCAGTGCTAAAAATGCAAATTCAAGTCAATGACTCAGAACAAATGAGGTTTTATACACCAGAGCAGCTTCTCCAAAGTGTTAACACCTCTTCTCTTGGAGAGGCAGTGGGGGCTGGAGTCTGGAGGTAACACCTGCAACAGCAGGCCTGACATTCAGGACTTTCCAGGAGCACTTCCAGGACTGTTCCGTGCCTCCGCCTGGCCCGGAGATGTGCTTCCTGCAGCAGCAGCTCTGGAGGTCTTGGGATCCCCGCTGTCTCAGGACTGGGAAGCTGGGGAGAGCGGCTCGGGATTGCTCAGAGATACAA